CTCTCGTGTAGTCATAATTTTCTGAGGTGGTGCATCATAATCACCACAGCAACCACTCCTGATGTCACAGAGGATTATTACTTCTGGGGGGAAATAAGTAGTTTGAGCAGATGGATGCATAAGGAATGAAGATCTTGTTATTATACAAATAAGTAGAGGGTGGGAGGAAAACATATCAAATATGTATGTAGGCATAATTCTTTTAAAATTATGATACTGAGAATTTCTGAGAAGAAATATGAAAAAGTGATGTTTAAACCACAAAAGTGGAAGGTAGCATGGAAAACATAGACTTTTAGATTATAAAAATATTTTTAAAAATTAATTTTAGATAAAATTTGCTATTGCAAATTATGGGCCACTTTGACATCCAACACCGTGCTGCTTCCCCAGTCTTCCTCCTTAGTCTTTTCAAAGATTTAAGCCTTCTAAATTCTCCTTTCAGAAAACTGGTGATTATTGAAATGGTAAAAAAAAAAAAACAACAACAGTGTATTTGCTGATATTATTGTAAGGCTTTTCTATAAGCAAGAGTATAAAAAAGTTCCAGAATTGTGCTTATCCAGTCATATTATTACACAGTCTTGATAGTCAGCTTCTAGTAGCTACTTGGCTCTCTTTCCATTTTTTTCTTTCAAATTCTAGCATGTATGCATCCATTTATCTCTCTCTTTTTCTCCCTCCCTCAACGTGAACAGTTTGTTTCCCCGTGTACATGCTACATACTCTTGAACTAAATTAACTGTCTTATTCAATGTACAGAAAAGGAAACTGTCAGCAAAGACTTGCTCCTGTATATTCTGCAATAGGTTCAACCTCACCCATCAGATTTAAAAATCAAATAGAGGGCTTCCCTAGTGGCGTAGTGGTTGAGAGTCCGCCTGCCGATGCAGGGGACGCATGTTCGTGCCCTGGTCTGGGAGGGTCCCGCGTGCCGCGGAGCGGCTGGGCCCGTGAGCCGTGGCCGCTGGGCCTGCGCGTCCGGAGCCTGTGCTCCGCGGCGGGAGAGGCCGCGGCAGTGAGAGGACCGTGTACCGCCAAAAAAAAAAATCAAATAGAATGCCAGTGGTAGTGAAGGAGTGAAGCAGCAGGAACTCACACACTGCTGGAGGGAATGTACACTGGCTTTGGAAGCCTGTTGGTCATTATCTAAAAAAGTGGAAGATGTGCAGATTCTGTGAACCAACAATACCACCTGGGTATTATAAATAATAGCCCAAACCTAAAAACAACCCAGGTAATAATCAGCAAAAGAATAGACAAATAATTACTATGTGTTCATACAATGAATATTGTACAGCAAAGAAGCATATAGCAGAGTGGATGAATTTCATAAACATACTGTTGAGTGTAAGAAGGCACAAAAAGAATGAATATAACATGAGTTCATTCCAATAAAGTTCAAAAAAATCAAAGCCAAACCATATTGTGGTGGTTTAACATTAAAAAAGAAGTAAATGATTTTCATTCTCACCTCTCCCTCTCCGTCCCTCTCTCTCATCCCCAAGGTGAATCATACTTTACCAAAATCTACCCTAAGGCCCCATCCATTCCATAAATATTGAGTGCCTGCTGTGTACTAAGCATTTGGGGAAAGATACAAGCAAATCTAACGTAGGATATACTATAACCCATCAGGTAGTTGTATTCAGAGGTTGTTTTTAGGTCCTTTCCTCAGCCTTAGCGTATAACTTGTACTTGGTAATGGAATACCAACTTGTTCTCATTGTTTTCTCATTTGTGAGGCATACTAAACATGACATACAAATTTTATTGCTTCCTTTTTTGGCTACTGAATATCTTTTTGACTACTGAAGAGTAATACCACCTGTTAGATTTAAAGTGCAGTATCTCATTAGATTTAAAGCCCTGCTCTTACCTAGTGTGAAGAAAGATCATATTTGTGCTGGAAACTACTTTGTGTGACAGGTCATCATTAAAGAACGTAGCAGGGCTTAAAGAATTGGTGGGCTGCACTTTCCCCAGTGGTTGGATACCTCATAATTATGGAAAATAAAAATGTAAATTATATTTCTAGAAGTGACAGCTCAGGATGCTTCACAAATTAGAAGTCACTTATTATCAGAAGAGTTAAAAGTGAGCCTACATTTGGGGATATGAACGTTTAGGATAAGGAACCTTTTGGAAATTATTTTTAAGTGAACAATAATAATACTCATTTTAATATCATAACATAAAGCTATAGGGTTACCTTTACTGCGGAAACACAGTTTATATGGACTTGTGTAATGACAGATGTTCTAATATGTATTTTAAATAATTTTTAAGATGCTTTTAAAAACTTACTGGTTTTGGTAGAATAAAGGAACACAGCATTATGGCACAGGGAACTCTACTCAGTGCTCTGTGGTGACCTAAATGAGAAGGAAATCCAAAAAAGAGGGGATACATGTATACATATAGCTGATTCACTTTGCTGTACTGTATAAATGAACACAACACTGTAAAGCAACTATACTCCAGTAAAAAAAAAAGCATTATTATTTCTTTGCATCTTCAGATTCTTTAAAATATTTTAATAAAAATTCTCCTTGAGTCAGATATCTTCTATTATATGTGCTTTGCTTTTCTTCTCAAATTTGGTAATAATGTATCAATAATTTCTAATGTAGAAATTGAGCTTATGCTCTTCAGCCAACCCTTGATAACACATAGCTATATCGTAGTCCAAACAGGGCAGGGAGGGAGGAAGGGAACGAAGAAGGAAGCAAAGGAAGGGAAGCGAAATACTGTGGTTCTGAAACACAAGTAGGTAATTTGCCTTTTAATTGTAGCTTCGTTCTTATTTATTGTATTATTAAATATGATGACCAAATTTGTTGAATAAATTTGTATGAAAATTTATTGAATTATTTAATGTTTTGAATATTGAATACCTGAGTGTTGATAGGAAGCCAGCTTAGCTTTCGAAGCATACACAATTTATATTTTGAAAGCCCATATTTACTCAACAGTTAGAATCAAAAACTATTTGACCTTTGCAGTTTAGGGATGGGATATATATTGTATATGCATAGTATTGAAGGTCTGAACCTTTAGATTTGTCATCCTAATATTTAGTTTTTTCTGACATGATCCTCCTACAAATTGCCCAACAATTTAGATAATTTACATTTATGTTATTGGAAAAGAAAACTTTAGAAATTAGATTTCTAAATGAGATAGGACCAATGTACTTGGCTGGCTCATGTGACTAGCTACATTGGCACTTAAGAATTTTCTGTGATCTTATTAGCTAATTAGCATAGGGTCCTTTTCTGCATCTGTATAATCATAGAATAAAGCCAAGTGGACGTGACACAAAACTTAAGTGAACAAAACTGTTTTGTTTCATTTTAGTATGGATTTCCTTAAAATTTTGCAAAATTATGAAGCTAGTATTTATGAGGCCCAGCTACATAGGTTGTGTGTGTGTATTTCTACCACAGGAAGTGATATGTATTGCCTCATTTTATAATATGGTTCAGCAACAGTTATAAAGATATGAACTTAGTTTCAGTTCTTTTATTAGGAAAATGAAAATCTTTCATTTACTCACTAATTTCATAGCTCTAAGTCCTTTGTGAACCATTTCTTTTACTGATCCTTTTGTGCTTCTATAGCTGCAAGATCCAGTATAGCAGCCACTAGGCATTTTGACTCTTGAGCAATTGAAATGTGGCAAGTCTGAATTGACATGGAACTGTAAGTGTAAAATATAAAATACACTTGGATTTCAAAGATTTATTACAAAGCAGAGATGTAAAATATTTCATTAATAATTTGTATATTGATTGTGTATTGCAGTGATCAGTATTTTAGATATATTGGATTGAGTAAAATATATTACTAAAACTAATTTTTCACTTTTTATGTTTTTAATGTGGCTACTAGTAAATTTAAATTATGTAGGTATCTCACATTTGTGGCTCTCATATTTTTATTGGATAGCACTGTTCTAGAGTCTGTCTTTTTTTTTTTTTTTTTTTGCGGTGCGCGGGCCTCTCACTGTTGTGGCCTCTCCCATTGCGGAGCACAGGCTCCGGACGCACAGGCTCAGCGGCCATGGCTCACGGGCCCAGCCGCTCTGCGGCATGTGGGATCTTCCCGGACCGGGGCACGAACCCATGCCCCCTGCATCGGCAGGCGGACTCTCAACCACTGCGCCACCAGGGAAGCCCGAGTCTGTCATATTTTATATAAGGAAGTCAGATTTAGAAAGACATAGTCTTTCTTTCGTCTCTTTCCAATTCTATGTTCAAGGGTTAGAAAGTATTTTAAAGCAGTTTATATGTTCCAACAATTAAATGACATCTGTTCTATGTAATGTAGGTGTACACATAAGTAGAAGGTATGTCTGACCATTTGACCACTGGTTGTAATGTTGAAGTGTATTGGTGTGCTCTTGAATGGAGAGAATAAGGAAAAATGAAACACAAACTACTAAGAATTGAAAAAGGGAACATGCTTATGTGCTATTGAAAACGCCAGTAAAAGACCCTAGTACTAATCTTTAGGAATTACATATTGTAATCTAAAATTATACTGTGTTGCAGATGGTTATCTTTGGTAATAACTGACTGAAACCACTGATGGAAAGATACATTTAGTGGTTTCCAAGCTGAGAAAAAAAATATTCCAATGGAATATTAGTTCCTATTTTTTTCTCTTACACAGAGTTGTCATCTGTGAAAGAGGAGGCAGAATATTTCACATGTCATAGTCATAAAATCTTAGGACCCACAGAAGTTCTTTAGGTTCCTATATGATACCAATGAGAATAATCATTTTTCTCCTAAAAAGTGATTGTCTCTTTTCCCCATCCCACCCCCATTTCCATGTTTATTTGTTTTGTTTTCCAAAAAGTCATATTTAATGCCCTACTTAGGTTTATTTTCTACTTACTCACTAAATAAGGAATAACTGTTATGTTTTATATTTGAAATTGTAAGGTACATTTCTTTTTTCTTTTCTTTTTAATTTGACTCTTTGTTTTACAGATGAGGGCAGAAGTGCAGTTGACCAAGCAGGTGGTGCACAGATTGTAATTGACCATTTAAGGTCACTGTGCAGTAAAACAGATCCCGCCAATGAGAAGCTCTTGACTGTCTTTTGTGGCATGCTGATGAACTATAGCAATGAGAATGGTAAACAAAATTGAAAACTTGCTTTATCTGTGGGGGAAAAATTAAAAATCATTACTGTAGTATAAACTAAAACTATTTAGAAAAATTATAAACAAAGCATTGATAAGTAGCATATAAAATTAGTAATTAGTCAACATTAAATAACAATGTTTAAAAATAAAAAATGGTCAGATTTACTAAATGGGACAAATTGTTGAAGGGTTGTCCATGTTAATCAATACCAAAAACAAGAAACAACATAATGGTGTGGTTTAATATTTTTTGCTATGAACATTTAAAAAATATACAATGTTAAAATACCTTCATGTTTATTACTTTATATTAATACCAGGAGCAGCTTTAAAACATAAACACTGTCTATATAAATAGAATTATTTTCTCTAGATACTGGGTTTACTTATAACAATAAAAAAATCTTTTAATGAAATCTAGCCTTAGAAAAATAAAGTTCAGATATTTGATTTTAGAAATTTAATAAATATTTGTAAACAGAAGTTTCTTTTCACTGTAAAACATTCTTAGAACCCAGCAACAAATAACATGTCAATTTTCAGATAGCCTATATGGTTGTTAATTAAATGAGCATAAGAATAGTGAAACAAAGGCTTCATTGTACTTTTAAATGTCACAAAAAATTCATCTGTCCTATGAATTACTGCATGGTAAAACACTCAAATTCTAGTAGGTTCCTAGAATTAATACAAATAAGGTCTTTCTGTGGCTTATTTCATCATGGCATTTTAAGTTGTAGTCTCTGGCAGAGACCAATTTTACTTGTATATTGAAAATGTAATAGTATTCTTTCATGTGTCCTAGAAACACATGGCCCTTTAGGTATATTTTTTATTTCTTCATGAGTCCAAAGAAATATTCTCAGTAATTAAAAAAAAAAAAAAAAAAGGTGAACATCGATGACAAATGGCTACTGACATTTGACCTTGGTGTTAGTGACAGCAGCAAATGGTGGGGACTGAGCCCTGTCCCATTGAAAGGGGAGAGCTACTACTCTCCTCTAGCCAGTTGTTTCTGTGTGGCAGTTTGGCCACATACTGCCAAATCTTTTCATCTGGTGGGAAGAGGAAGCTATAAATTTAACTTTTCATGTGACATCTGTTTTTTAAATGGCGGATTACATTTGCTTCTCTAGCACTGTACAGGCTAAACAGAATGTGTCCTCAGGTCACATCCTTTCCAAGAAACACCAGTTTTAAACTTATGAATTAAAGTTATCCATTATAATAATAAAAAATAGTTCTTATTCATCAAATGGCTTGCCTGTTAAACTTGAGCTAGAAACAAATGTAGTCTTTATAGGGTCAGTTACCTCTATTTTTCTTACCCTCTGGTGGAATCATTTTTGAAGAGAAAATGTCCTAAATATGAACAGGAGAATTCATCTATCTGGGTAAAGTTCCTAAATAGTTGAAATTTGACCATAATACACAGGTATCTGAATTGCATTAAGAAATCATTGGCCAGTTGTTCATGTCACTTGCTTTTTCTTCGGCTTCATTTAGGCTTGGACACCTGAGAAAGTGGAACAAAGCTAAGTGGGAGAATGGTTTAGAAAGACAAGTGAAAGAAACTAGTTGTGAAGTTATTATGGCAGCTTTTGATATAAAAGAATTAGGCTTGTTATGCATCTAAACTAGTTGTTTATCCTTTGAGGAATTTCTTCAAAAATCTGTACAAAAGCTTATCAAATGGCAAAATGGTCTTCAAAAACATCACTAATTCTAATCCAAAGGAGATTGTGATTGAGTCTCTATAATAGGGTGTCACACTGTGTAGAGAGGTGTACTGAGAAGGTAATGTTAACAATACGCAGAATGCATGGTCTAAATGTGTGTATATTTCTTTTGTAAGGGTAGGTGTTTTTTTTTTTCCCCTGGTGTGCAAGTATTCCCAAGAAATAGCTTAGATACTTTAGAAAGCTATATTAACTTTTCTCAGAACATTACTCGAGCAGTGGTGTTTTTGTTCCATTATTCTAAAAGCTGAAATTTGAATGCAGCTTTCAAAAGTTATTAGATAAAATAGAAGTAAACTTATCTTTAGTATTTTAAAGGAACAAATGCCAGACTTGTGACGATCTTCTTTCCTCTGCTTCCTTTTACTTTTGTCTGTCGTGGGGACCATAGTTTGTGAAGTGGTTCTTTTGCTCCATAATGCTCTTTAACTTAAATTATATCCTTTTTTGTTTTGCATAATTATTAAGCATCTTTGTTGTTGTATCAATTATTTATTTACTCTTTTCTTTAAAATATGTGTTGAAAGACTTTCCAACTTAATGTTAGGTCTTCTTGGTTAACTTAAGATCATTTGGTATTGATCCTGTCCACCTGTATGAGTCACTAAGCCAAAAAGCACTAGAGCTTTTTGAAACTCAGGAGGCGCTTTTTACTAGCGCCGATAAATGAAATTCCTTTTTTGTGTATTTACTGTTGAATTCCAGTACACAAGCCTGTGCTAGTTTCTGAGTAGAATAGTTGAGTGATAAATACCTCCTTATTACTCTAACGGAAAAATTATCTCTACCCTTGGGCCCAATAACTTAAGCCTCATTTGTAGTTAGGGAGTTATTCTTTAGCTTCATAGATAAAAATTTTTTTAAACAGAGAGAGATAAGAAAGTACTGAAATGGGGCTTCCCTGGTGGCGCAGTGGTTGAGAGTCCGCCTGCCGATGCAGGGGACACGGGTTCGTGCCCCGGTCTGGGAAGATCCCACATGCCACGGAGCGACTGGGCCCGTGAGCCATGGCCGCTGAGCCTGCGCGTCCGGAGCCTGTGCTCCACATCGGGAGAGGCCACAACAGTGAGAGGCCCGTGTATAGCAAAAAAAAAAAGTACTGAAATGGTAACAAAGACCCACCAACATAGTTTCTCTAATAAGGACATTTTCAAATTGTTTATTAGTCCTAAAGGTGGCTTGACACCAGGCTGAGACTTAGGATATCTTGATTCCTGTCCATATAGTGGACAACTCTGAGCATATCAAATCTTTGAATACATTAAATAGGAAGTCAAGTTTCTTAAACACATGCAAGAAAGATATCTATAATGAAAACACTCAGTAAAGGCATTTTTATACCCTTTGATAAAACTGTATAAAACTCAAGGTTCACGAGTTTTAAAACTTTTGAACCAGCTCAAGACTCTAAGCTATGAGCTAGATGTATTCTTTTGTTTCCCCACTGGTGAAGCAATTAAAACTTTCTATATTCAGACAAGTAAGTTTGGAATATCTGAATAGAAAAAGTTATAATTGCTTAGCTAGAAAAGTTGTGTCATTAATATTGCTAAATAAAATCATGTTTAACTAGAATAACAAACAAAACTTTGTTTAGTAAAAATCATTTCAAATTTTTCCTTTGGGGAAAAATCATACCTGTTTTTCACATGGTGAAAAAGCACTCTTCAGTTCTGTGGCCCTCCAAAATATTCTGAGTATTTGACAGTTGTGGTTAGAGACAAGCGTATTGACAGTTTGACATTCTATTTGAGGAAATGTGAACCTCCTGTATTTTGTTTATGTAGTTACAGCAGGGTCCCCAACCCCGGTACCGGTCTGCGACGGCCTGTTAGGAACCGGGCCTCACAGCAGGAGGTGAGCAGTGGGCAAGCAAGCCCTTCTAAAGTGACTAACATAATATACACGGTCTATGATGGGCTTCATCATGTGACCAGTATCATATATATGATATATGTATGTGTATGTGTATATATAGATATATGTATATACCTATGATTTTTACAAATAGAGCTGATTTTTCTGTGGTATCTTAATAACTCCTTATTATCGAAAGAGTAATTTCTCTTTTTTTGTGGTTCCTGAAATCTCTCTGCAATACTCTCATGATAATTCTCACATTTATTTGCCGCACGGACTTATGATAACTGAACTACGGTTGAAGGGAGGCCATCTGTGTGATTTAAGAAATGCAGCTCATGGAGTATCAGAGCATTTTAACAATTGAATTTAAGTATTAAGCCCAGTACTTAAATTCAGTTGTTTAAAATAGGCCTGTAAAGTATCTTCTCTCCTCTAATTTAAAGATCACTTAATATGTAATTAGTTTTAGCTCCTTTCATTTCAACCAGCAGTTTCCCAATTCTAATAATACTCTTCCTAGTGAACTCAGCCAATAACTTGGCTTACTTGATTTTTCTTCATATTTAAAATAGGAAGAATAGAAATTAATAAGGAATAATCCTGATTAAAAACGCACTTTGGACTGAGCTACTTGTTTATGTTTTGGTATTACTTTATTATAGGTAAGAAAGAATGCTTCCTTGATGTTAGATGTTTAGAAAATGATTTGCTTTGCATGAGTGAGGAACTAGTTCCAAAGTTTACTTACTGTGGGTATAAGCTAGTTAATAATTCCATAAATTTCCTAAACACTGAAGACTTTTTGCCTAACTTTAAGGGAGAAAGAGAAAACAAAGTGTGTTTTTGCAATTTATTGTCTTTTTTTCTTAATTATAATTTTCCTATATACTATTTTCATGTATTTTCTGTTCATAAAGGCATGGGAGATGTACTTTTAAGTTATATCTTTTGAAGCCCAGTTTGTCAAATTAAAGTACTCTAGTATGTTAAGGTGTGTTAAAGACTTATTGTACCCCTGAAAAGTTTTTAGGCTTTAAAAAATAATAATATTAGAATTCTTTATTTACTAACTGCTGTTCTCTCTAAAAAATTTCTGAATTTTTACTGTTTGTCCAACAGAGCTTTCTAATCAGTCTGAAATAGGTTGCATTCATGAAGTTCTGCTACAAATGTCATTTTAAACAAATTGTTTTATTGATGTACAGAGCAGTTAGTTGTTCTTGTGCCTCCTGCTAATTCTGCCTATTAAATTTGACCAATTAGACTAGGTTATTAGCTCTTCACCATAATCCTCCTAAACAATTACTATAATAATGCTGTTATTTAACGGACAGGCTAAGAACTTGGTTTTTAGTAGAGGTGTACCAAATGCATATTTTGGTTTAAT